CCAACACTGTGCTTTCACCCCTAATCCCTGCACTCCACTCCTGTGCCCCTAAACTTTAGATAAATGTCTATCAGGGATGGTCTAGACAGTATTTGGTCCTGCCATGCGGGCAGGGGACTGGACTCGATGACCTCTCGAGGTCCCTTCCAGTCCCAGAATCTATGAATCTATGAATAATCCGTGCACTGTGCCCCCTTCACGCCAACCCCTGCACTCCCCTCCTGTGCCCCTAATCCCTACACACCCTTTACTCCTTCCCCCTGCAGCTCCCTCCTCTGCCCCTAACCCCTGTACTGTGCTATCTTCACCCCAACCCCTGTCCCCTCCTGCTCCCCAACCCCTGCACCCCTAACCTCTGCACCTCCCTCCTGCACCCTCAACCCTGCACTGTGCTCTCTTCACCCCAACCCCTGCCCCCCGCCTGTGCCCCTAACCTCTGCATCCTCCTCCTGCACCCACATGGGAAAACTGACCTGGATGCAGTGACGGAGCAGCTGGCATTGCTGCTTGCTTCCACACGGCACTGCTGCTCCTCTGCCCCGCGCACTCCTAGGGGGCTGTGGAGGGGAGCAAGGAGCGATGTCAGGGCTCCCTGCATCCAGGTCACTTTCCCTGCCTGGGCTGCGTAGGGGAGGCAGGAGAGCAGCAGCTCCTGATGCTAACCTCACAGCACAACCCAGGTGGGGAAAGTAACCTGGATGCAGGGAGCCCTGGTGTATGTGTTGGGGGGACTGTGTGAGAGAGACGTGTGTTTGTGAGAGAGAGAGAGAGAGACACACACACACAATGTGTGTTGTGTTGAGGGGAGTGTCTGTGTGTGTGCCTGAGTGATTGTTGAGCACACTCTCTTCAAGAAAGCACTCCGGATCAGGCACCTGAAGGCTTGTTGAGACACAAGCAGCTGCTGCCAGACCCAGAGAGGCAGCAGCGCACACAGATTCTCCCTGTCCCGTCACCCCAGCTCAGTCAAACCAATGGTCCATCTAGCCCAGTGTCCTGTCTTCCAAAAGTGACTGGTGCCAGATGTTTCAGAGGCAATGAACAGAGTAGCAATTATTGAATGATCCATCCCCTGTTGTCCAGTCCCAGCTTCTGGCAGTTGGAGGCATATGGAACCCTAGAGCATGGGGTTGCCTCCTAGACCATCTTGCTGATAGCCATTGATGGACCTATCTTCCACAAATTTATCTAATTCTTTTTTGAACCCAGTTATACTTTAGGCCTTCACAACATCCCCTGACAACTAGTTCCACAGGTTGATTGTGCATTCTGTGAAAGAAGTACTTCCTTTCGTTTGTTCTAGACCTTCTGCCTATTAATTTCATTAGTTGACCTCTGGTTCTTGTTATGAGAACCTTCTCCACAACATTCATGACTTTATAGACTTCTATCATATCCCCCCTTAGTCGTCTCTTTTCTGAGCTGAACAGTCCCAATCTTTTAACTTCTCCTCATACAGAAGTTATTCCATACCCCTAATAATTTTTGTTGCCCTTCTCTGTACTTTTTCTAATTCTAATACATCTTTTTTGAGATGGAGTGATCAGAACTGCAAGCAGTGTTCAAGGTATGGGCGTAACAGATTTATATAGTGACATTATATTATTTTCTGTCTTCTTATCTATCCCTTTCCTAACGCTGTTAGCTTTTTAAACTGTTGCTGCACATTGAGAGGATGTTTTCACAGAATTATCCACAATGACTCCAAGATCTTTTTTTTGAGTGGTAACAGCTACTTTACACCCTATCATTTTATATGTATAGTTGGGATTATGTTCTCCAATGTGCATTATTTTTCACTTATCAACACTGGATTTCATCTGCCATTGTGTTGCCCAGTCACCCAGTTTTGTGAGATCCCTTTTGTAATTTATTGCAATCTGTTTTGGATTTAATTATTTTGAGTAATTGTGTATCATCTGAAAATGTTGCCATCTTACTATTTACCCCCTTTTCCAGATCATTTATGAATATATTGAATTTATGATAATCTGATAGCCATATCATAACAGATGATAAAATAATAGCTCCTAGTTCCAAGTGATTGAAAATAATGTAGACTGACACTTTGGTCTCAGGCATTTGAATAATGAATTACTCAGATAGCTGTGTCTTACTGTGTGTTAAACTACTGCACTAACAGTATTTCTTTTCAACAGTGTCATCAAAGAACCTTGGGAGTAAGCTGCTTCATGAAAAGTAATTTACACCCTCTCTCATCCCCTTTCCCCCCTTGATCTGTGGGTGGGGCAGTGCTCTGAAGTAAATGATAATGTAATGCACAATCTTGTAGTGAAATGGCAAAAATTGTTGAAATCCTGCTATGACAATTACTTTCTAAAACAGGCATTGGCTAAATGAAAAAGATGTCACATCTACACAAAGTGTTTCTTTCTCTAAATATATCATTTAACTGCATTCCTACTCTTGGTTCTCCACACAGGATAGGCCAGAGCATCTTTCAGATCAATCAAAACATTGCATCCCAATTCTTTTCTGACCATGGTTAGCTAGAGAGCTCCCCATTGGAATTGCAGCCGGTTGCAGCTGTCTTTCACCCTTATAGACCTTGGCTTTGGAAAATATTTCTATATATCTTGATTAGTTTGCCATCTTCTTCAGTGCCCAAGGGTGGCTTCTTGCAGCAGCAGTTTTCTTTGATGTTTTTAGCTGCATAGCCAAAGTAATCTGTGAGTTGTTGGCTCTTCTAGGAAGCGAGGGTGTTTTTGGACATCATGGTTCATGTGCATCAATCATTTTGTAGTGTGAGGGGGAACATCTAGTTTAAAAGGAGAACATTATGTACTGCAAAAAGTGTGCAGGTAGTGTATTTTCTTTATTTTTTATTTAGTTAGCATTAAATTTCTTTTTTCTTTCTTTTTGCCATTCCTGTTTAGAGAACATCTTCCTGGCAAGGCATAGAAATTTCTGACAGCAAAAGGTAAGTGTGAACATTTATTTCTTTGCTGTTTTTTATATCCCTTTGAATTCTAGTAACTTTGAATGCTTACATTAAATTACTGATGTTGCCTTTTACTTAGTTTTGTACTCTGGATATTTTGAGTAAATTTTTTTGCACTAAGCAACAGAGAGTCCTGTGGCACCTTTAAGACTAACAGATGTATTGGAGCATAAGCTTTCATGGGTCAATGCCCACTTCGTCGGATGCAACTGTGTGGGCTAAAAATAGTGTCATGGTAGTTGCTAGCTGCTCTGGTCAAATAGTCGTCATTGGTGCCTTTTGTTGCTGCTTTCTAAGAGTACGATAACTGACTTTTGAGTGTAGCTGGTGGTGTTGTAGTTGCTGCATACCACACAAGTTTATACTAATATTTCTTCTGATGTCATAGTGATTGTTTTGATGATAGTGTCCAGTTTAGGAAATAATGTAAATGTAGATACACTGCAAAAATTATTCAATAGAACAACAGCAAATAAACTACACTCTAAGTTACTGTGTTTTGATTTTTACAGCAACCATAATTCTGCTTTTGTGTGTATATATGGTATTTCTTATTCCTTTATATTGGGTAATATTTACACCTGAATACATGTAAATTTGGGGGAAGGGAGATGAGAAGTGGTACATTTTCCCCATCAAAAGGGAGATACTGGTAAGAGTGGGAAAGAGATTATGGCCTCAGGTTTCTCGCATATGAAAATGAGATGTTGGGAGTGGAAGAGGAAGACCATGAGTGATGGCCTCCATTATTAGGAGGTGCTATTCAGAGTAAACTTCCCTCTTGAAGAATTCTTGTCTGAAGAGGGTCAAGGTGGGATTTGGGTCTGTACCCTTGAAGATAATCGAAGGTGATGGTGAAGGGTAGTGGAGTTGATGGAGTTAATTCTAGCATTGGATGCTGCTGCAAGCTGCTGTTACTGTGTTTGTGTGGTGAACACGATAGAGGGATATCATTCTAGAAGTGGCCTCATAAAATGTGGGTAAACATTCATAATCTATATGCTTATCAGAACTGAGACTAAATTCTAAATATTTTGAGTTTCTCTCTCTGTGGGTATTAATAAGTGAGGTGCAGAGTTTCACAGTTTAATGTAACTATAGCTGTGACCAAATATATAACTTGTAATAGTAAAAAAGTTTATTGAAATAGACTAGCGAATAAAATTAGAATATCAGAATATACTTTTTGGTTTTCATTAAAGAATATTTTCCAATTAAGTAGAAAAAAATGAGAAACTCTTGGTGTAATTCTGATTTTAAAAATAGAAATTATTCCTCAGGCCACTCAGGATGCTGCACTTGTTTGGGAGATTTCCTCCTTTCTTGACTCTTGGTTTTGACACCTGTAAAAGGATCATCTGTGCAATCTTGATGCTGTTTATTTAGTTGTTTTTTCTTCACAAAGTCACAAGGGAATATATTTTCACGGTGGAATATAAATCCCTATCAGAATAATTATACAAGCAACAAAGGTGTATTGTATTTTTAATTATGAAAACTGGTGTGACAACTGTTACATATCTTGGCAATTTAAATCAGTGGGCTTACTCACTGAATAAGGTACTTCTCAGTGTGAATAAGGTTGGCAGAATCTGTCCCTTAAGTCTAGACATAAGTTTAGATAATTTGAGTAAAAAATATTTATTTTCATCTCTTTTGCTAATTTGTAAGCTCTGGAAAATGCATGCAATCAAAATTTCCATTGACTGAAAGATTGGGTTGATGGCCATTGGACATTAGTTTTACAATCTAAATCCCTCTACAATTATATTATTTTTATAAAGCACCAAATGTGCACTAAAGTCTGAGTTATACATTGTATTACACAACAAGTAATTTAAAAATATTTTCACAATATGACATTTTTACAGAGATGTTAATCAGTGCTGGAATCTGTCAAAAGATTTAAGAATTATATTTGGAACAGTGTCTCCTTCAAATGCAAAAGTGGGAATGTTGAAAGGTTCTAGTACAGTGGTCTGATAGTAGTAACTTTTGCATGATTTTAGCAATACATGTCCAGTATAATTAATTCAACTTACTTCACTCTGAAGTCATCAGCAGCCAGCCTGGCATTGTCAATTTGCAGAATGATCCTGGCATTGTCAACAGTTGCAGCAACGATCTAAAAAACAGCAGGAGGTACTGAGCAATACGTTATTTCTTGGACTCACTTAAGTTTGCCAGGTTTACTTGTGTCTCATGCTTTGGATGAACTTAATCAAAGTCAATGGAGAAAAAATTTAAGTAGTTCAAAAACTGATATCTGATACTTACATGAATAACTAACATGATAAAATATTTGCTTATCTTGGTCAGTTCAATATTTTAGAAATATTTTCTCATTTGTCCACATTCTCCTCTGTTACTCCATTCATGCTTATTCTCACTTTTCTTTTTCCATATCCCTTTGCAATAGTTGATGCACACCTGGTGCTAAGTTCACTTCATACCCCCTCTAAAATAAAGCCACATTAGGACAATGTTTGACACAATGATCTCTTTCTCGTAGTTTCCTTTCTGGCAGTCTTTTCAGCTCTACTTTTGGGGATTTGTGAATATCTCCTGGGTTATGTCAGTGAACTTCTGCTGATTTTCTTAAACTTGATCTTCATTATGAACCTATTGAGCACATTCAGGTCCCTGGAGCCCAATCCTGCTGCAAATGAAATTGTCAACTTATTTATAATGTAGGCTTGACATTTGACATTAGTATTACAATTCAGTCAGGTACATAGTTAACATTTTACTTTTCAGAATAAGACAATAATTAAATGCATTATTTAATCCCAATAACAAATTATTTAAAAATATAATTTCTTACTTGATTTCCAAGGTTTTCAATAATAGCATAGTATTTACTGTAGTTGCGAGGTCCTCCATCAGTATGTGGTCCAAATTTCTCATACCAGTCCTTGATTTTGTGTTCAAGCTCTGTATTTGCCTCTTCCAGAGCATTTACTTTGCCCAGGTAGGAGGCCAAACGGTCATTAAGGTTCTGCAAGGTTTCCTTTTCACTACCTGAGAGAAGTCCACCATCTCCGCCTGTAGCACCAACAGCACCATAACCGAAGTTATAAAAGGACCCACCTGCGCCACTTCCAATGCCACACCATCCAGAACCAGCACCCCAGCCTCCCCCAGACCCATACATTACCACTCCAGAACCTCCACCCAAGCAACACACTCCACCACTAGGTATTTTTATAGATGCACCACCACTGCAGCAGGAGGAATTTTGCCTAGATCCAAGACCAAAGTAAGACATGGTGCTGAAGTAAAAGCTAAGCTTTGACAGTGCAGAAATGTAGCTCAAGGACAGACTGCACTATAAGGACAATATCAACCTTTTATATACACATTTGTAAGGGTGTGTTCTTTTGGAACATACTTTTCTTAAGTGCATTGTTCTATGTATAATTTACCATTTCTAGCTATTTCATAGCTGCATGACTGGTGGTTATTAATAGCTAACCCCGATATTCCTGTTTGTTTATTTTCCCTCAGGACATTTGTGATGTCAAAATTGAAAATGTGTGTACCAAAACTTTCATTACATTACATGTTTTCAACAAGATTGTATCATTTTTCTCTTTCCCCAGTACAAACATATTTTCTTTTGTTCCTACCCTTTCTCTAGTTTTGCACATACATTTGCAACACATTTACTCTTTTATGACAGGAGGGAGTGCAAACAGCTTTCTTCTTGGCTGGTTTGTGTTCATTGTATTTCCTCACCCAGGGTGTTGCAGTAATAGCTATGTAGTTTATGTTATATCTGGAGTGCATCTTCACGTTGTTTTCTGACGTACTTGTCTTCTTTTGTGAAGCTTTAGAAAACAATTTTGTTATGTCAGTTTCTTTGACTAGTTGGAAGTACCACAACACAGGGTTATCTACAATCAGAACATGGATTATATTCATTTAAATGTTTGCCTCCACATTGTCCAGAACCCAGAAGGATAACAGCATGATTCAACAAGCAGTTATTATGCCTGGAAGTTTGAAGAGTCTCTGCTTCAGCAGATAAGAGCATTGGCATTTAACTGAGATATGGATAGTTTGACCACTACTTTTCTCCATCTGTTGATACAGAGTTCGTGCCCTACAATAGAAACAGTTCCTGAAGGGAAAGTAGTGTTTTTATTTGCATGCATTGACTAAAAGAGAGGGACATTGTTCTATGACAAATAGCTGGTGTACAAACTTGTTAGGAGAAGCAACTAGAAATAGTCATCAAAAAGAAAATGTGAATAATCTTTCAGAAAAAAAAGATTGATGTACCTAGAAAAAAGTGTGATACACCTGAACAGTCAACCTTTGCTTGGGTCTGCTTATGAGAAAAGAGCACACAGTCTTTACTCAGTGTTTAGCTGCTGTGTATTGCAGACTAGATAACCCATATCATTTTTAGATTACTTGGTAGTACAGATATGTATTCAGCAAAAATCCTGAAAATTTGTGAAACTTGAAACTTGTCTCAACCTTTCCAAGGTAATGTATTTAAAACATAAAATGTTAGCTTTACCACAATTAATAAAAAAAGATTTACTACTTTTTTATGTTTACTGAAAGAAAATGTAGTTACTAACAGATCAAACATATACGGGATGTCACTGTTGGCCAAATAGGGCCCGTTTCCCCCCGGAGCTTACCTAATTACA